TTATGGTTCCATAAAAACTTTAGAAATGTTTGTTCTACAGCTCTGAAATACATCATTGGTATTTTAATAGGGATTGTATTGAATCTATAAATTGCTTTGAGTAGTATGGACATTTTGATGATGTTAATTTCCTCCAATCCATGAACACTGTATATTTTTTGTGTGTCTTCCTTAATTTCTTTCTTCAGTGTTGTGTAGTTTTCTGAATGCAAGTCTTTTACCTCCTTGGTTGAGTTTATTCCTAGGTACTTTATTTTTCTTGTTGCTATAGCAAGTGAGATTTTTTTTTTCCTAATTTCTGCTTCTGATATTTTATTGTCGGTGTACAAAAATGCCTTCAATTTCAGAATATTGACTTTGTATTGCCACGCTTTTTGCCCAATTCACTTAATTAGGTTATGTAGTTTCTGGTGGAGTCTATGGGGTTTTCTATGTACATGTCATCTGCAAACAATGATAGTTTTACTTCTCCCTTTCCAATGTGGATGCCTTTTATTTCTTTTTCTTCTCTGATTGCTGTGGCTACGGCTTCCAATACTATGTTGAATAGAAGTGGTGAAAGGGGACAACCATGTCTTGTTCCCAATTTTAGTGGGAAAGCTTTTAGTCTTTGCCCATTAAGTATGATGTTGGCTGTAGGTTTTTCATATATGGCCTTTACTATGTTGAGGTATTCCCCCCTTTACTCCCACTTTGCTGAGTGTTGTTATTATAAATGGGTGCTGTTTCTTATCAAATGCTTTTTCCACATCTACTAATATGATCATGTGTTTTTTGTCTTTCCTTTTGTTTATGTGATGTATTACATTTATTGATTTGCAAATATTGAACCATCCTTGCATCCCTGGGATGAATCCCATTTGATAATGGTGGATGATCTTTTAAATCTATTGCTGGATATGGTTTGCCAATATTTTGTTGAGGATATTAGCATCTTTGTTCATCAGTGATATTGGACTCTAGTATTCTTTCTTTGTTGTGTCTTTTTCTGGTTTTGGGATTAGGATGATGCTGGCCTCATAAAAAAGAGTTTGGGACTCTTCCCTCATCTTGGATTTTTGGAATAGTCTGAAAAGGACAGGGGTTAGCTTTACCTTAAATATCTTGTAAAATTCTCATGTGAAACTGTCTGGTCCACGGCTTTTGTGTGCCGGGTGTTTCTTGATTACTGCTTCAATTTCTCCAGCTGTTGTTGATCTGTTCAAGCTTTCTGCTTCTTCTCCATTCGGTGTTGGAAAGTTATACTTTTCTAGAAATTTGTTCATTTCATCAAGGTTTTCAAATTTCTTGGCATGTAATTGTTCATAGTAATATCTTACAATCCTTTGTATTTTTGTGGTTTCAGTTGTAATTTCTCCTCTTTCATTTCTCATATTTATTTGAGTCCTCTCCCTTTTTTTCTTAATGAGTCTGCTTAAAGGCTTGTTGATTTTGTTTAACTTTTCAAAGAACCAGCTCCTGGATTCGTTGATCCTTTGAACTGTTCTTTTAGTCTCTGTGTCATTCAGTTCTGCTCTGATATTGACTATTTCCTTCCTTCTACTTGCTCTAGGATTTATTTGTTGTTGTTTCTCCAATTCTTGAAGTTATTGGGTTAGGTCATTTATTTGAAATGTTTCTGTCTTTTTGCATGTAGGTCTGTGTAGCTCTGAACTTCCCTCTCAGGACTGCCTTTGCTGTGTCCCACAGGTTTTGGACTGTTGTGTGTTCATTTTCATTTGTTGCCAGAAATTTTTTGATTTCTTTTCTTATCTCATTTTTGACCCATTCAGTCTCCATGAGTTTGAAAGTTTTTTGAGTTTTTCCTTGAGGTTGGTTTCCAGTTTCACGTCCTTGTGGTCCAGGAAAATGCGTGTTATTATTTCAATTTTCCTGAATTTGTTGAGGCTTTGTTTGTTTCCTATGATATGGCCTATCTTTGAAAATGTTCCATGTGTGTTTGAAAAGAATGTGTATTTTGCTTCTTTGAGGTGAAAGGTTCAATATAGGTCAGTTGAGTCTGTTTGATCTGATGCATCATTCAGTTTCACAATATCCTTGTTTATGATTTGTTTGGAAGATGTATCCATTCTTGACAGTGGGGTGTTAAAATCCCCTACTATCAGTGTGCTGCTGTCTAATGTTTCTTGAAGTCCCCCAAGTTTTTCCTTATATATTTGGGTGCTCCTATGTTGTGTGCATATATGTTTACAGTGTTTATGTCTTCTTGATGGATTCTTCCTTTGAGTATTATAAAGTGTCCTTCTGGGTCTCTTTTTATGGTGTCTGCTTTGAAGTCTATTTTGTCTGATATAAGTATTGCTACCCCTGCTTTTTTTTCCCTGTCCATTTCCTTGGAATATTATTTTCCATCCCTTTACTTTCAGTCTGTGTAGGTCCTTTGTTCTGAGGTGGGTCTCTTGTAGGCAGTATATGTGTGTCTTTTGTTTTCTTACCCATTCAGCTATCCTGTGTCTTTTGATTGGGGCATTTAGTCCATTTACATTTAAAGTTATTATTGATTGGTACTTATTCATTTTTTTCCCTTTGTACCTCTGTTCTTCTCTTTCTCACTCTTTTTCTTCATCTTCTTAAACCAGTCCCTTTAGCATATCTTGTAGTGCTCGTTTGGTGGAGGTGTATGCTTTTAGCCTTCTTTTGTCTGGGAAACTCCTTATTTCACCTTCCATTTTAATTGAGAGCCTTGCTGGGTAGCACAGTCTTGGTTGCAGGCCTTTGCTTTTCATGACTTGGAATATTTCTTGCCATTCCCTTCTGGCTTGCAGTGTTTCTGTTGAGAAATCAACTGCTAGCCGTATCAGGGCTCCCTTGTATGTTACTACCTTTCTCTGTTTTTGCCTTTAAGATTCTTTTTTGTCTTTGATTTTGGCCATTTTAATGATGATGTGTCTTGGAGTGGGCCTCTTTGGGTTCCTCTTGAATGGGGCCCTCTGAACCTCCTGGACCCGTGAGACCTTTTCTCTCCTCAAACTGGGGACATTTTCTATCATTACCGTTTCAGACAGGTTCTCTATCCCTTGCTCCTCTTCTTCTCCTTCTGGTATCCCTATTATGCGGATATTATTGCATTTCAGGTTGTCCTGCATTTCTCTAAATGCCTCTTCATTCTTTTTGAGTCTTTTTTCCATTTCTTGTTCTTTCTGGGAGCTTTTTTCTACGTTGTCATCCAGGTTGCTGATTCGATCCTCGGCTTCATCCAGCCTGCTTTTGATTCCTTCTACTGTGTTCTGCAATCCAGAAATGGTATTCTTCATATCCTCTTGTGTCTTCTTGATAGTTCCTATGTCATTTTCCTGGTTGACATACTTTGCCGTAAGTTCCTGATAGTTGCCCTGCAGTTTCTCGCAGTTATCTTTGCACTGCCTGAGCTCATTGAGCTTCCTTACAGCCATTGTTTAGAATTCAATATCTGATAGTTCACTCGCCTCTATTTTATTTAGTTCTCTCTGTGGGGATTCCTCCTTTCCCCTCTTTGTATGAGGGGGGAGGGATGTTTCTTTTTTTCCCATTATTTGTGAGACATCTTTTTTGCTTCTGCTTCTTAAATTGATGTGCCTTGATTTCCTGGCTTTGTCGTGTGAACTTCTGTAGTAGTAGACAGGTCTTTGGCCGGCGGGGCGGCGGGGGAGGTTCTGCCTTAGATGATGTCAGATGTTAACCTCGTCTGACCTTCAACAGGCTGTTTGAGACTTCCTGAAATCTACTGTCTGTCTGTGTCTGTCTCTGGCAATTTTTAATCTAGTCACTCTTCCCTCTGCCATCAGGCTTAGGCACCACAGGTCGGGGCAGTGCTTCCTGAGGGTGAGGCTATTGTGTCTTTACAGTCTACTGCCACTCTGGGGAGTGTTCTCCCTGAGCAAGATGGAAGCAGAGGGGTGGGGAAGGAGTCTGCACTGATATCCCCTTGGCTACTCTCTCAGTTCTCTCCCCATGCTTCCATCTCTAGTCTCTCCTCCAGCGTCTCTAGATAGCTCTGTGTCCCCTTTAGTCAGGAATCTACTATCTCTGCCGGCCACTCTGCCCTCTGCACCCAGGCCGGTGCGCAACTCTCGGCCAGGGCAGAGTATCCTGAGGGCAAGGCTGTTGTGTCCTTTATGCCTGAGCAAGATGGAAGCTGCGGAGTGGGAAGTGAATCCTCACCGGGGCCCCGCTGGCCACTGTCTCAGTTCTCTCCCCAAAGCTTTCCTCACTAATCTTTCCTCAGGTGGCTTCAGCCCACTTTGCCCCTGCCTTTTCCCAGAGACCAAGGAAGGTGGCTGCCACTGTAGATTTTTGCGTTGGCCCTTTAAATGTCTCTTTGCATCTCCAGCCACTTGTCTCTGGCAGAGAGTGCCACTATGCTTTTTGCAGCCGTCTTGTTTGTGCATTTTTTGCGGTTCTGGTGCTATAAGCCAGAGGTCCCCACTTATGATCAGACCCTGTTCTTTTTAGGGGGATCCAACTGGCCATTTCAATATCCCTCTAGTTTCAATAACCCATGGGCGCCCAGCCCACCCTTTCAAGCCCTCACTGCACTTCTCACCTGTTAGGTTGTGTGAAAGCCGATTCCACTGTCTGTCTGAGGCTGCAAGGCGCTTCTCTCACTATTGTTTCATTGTTTTCCAGGTGATTTCACCACAATTTAGTTGCAATTCTAGTTTGGTCCCGGGAGGCGGTCAGTGTGACTTCCACTCACTCCTCTGCCATATTGTCCCTTCTATTGAAGAATATTTGCTTGCTTTCAATTTGAGGCAATTATGAATAAAGCTGCTCTATATAATGTCATTTAAAGGCCTTCTTGAATTGAATCTGACAGTTAATATCCAACAAAAATGTTTTGTATACATAAATGTTACTGTATCAAACCTCTGTGTTGTATTTGTGTGACATGGAAATGTTATGCCACCTGCTGTGTGTTTCTGAGTTCAGTAACTTAGAAAAGTGTATTTCATCCATCGATTGATTACTTTTATTGGCTTAAGAAAAATGAGCTTTCTTCTTTTTTTTTTTGTTTCCACCAGATGTAACTACCCCTGAAACTCCAAAGAACATTGTAGAATCATTGGTGGTGAACGGAGGTTTTACATCACAAAGAAAAGAAAATGGGTTAAATGCTGCACAGCAGGTGTCTGTCCAGCGGAAGAAGCTCCTCAAAGCTCCAACTCTGGCTGAGCTGGACAGCTCTGACTCTGAGGTGAGCTCCCCTGAGGTGTGGGTTCACAAATCTTGACTCCCAAGTTCATAATGATAACACTCTCTGACCTAGTTTACTAATTGTGTTGTTTTAGTTGTTACTTAATCCTGTCCCATTTTTGAAACAATAACATTAGAATTAAAATTTATTTAACAGGAAATAAAGCAATGGGTTACTTACTGTCACTTAGTAAAGACCAATATAATGCCCACAGTACATATGAAAAGTTTTGAAATATTGATACAGTCTTAGATTATGGTAGGGTTAAAATAAGTAAACAATTTTCAAACTTTTATTAAATATCTTATTTGGAAGAAGGAAAAAGAAAAACATAATTCCATTGAAAACACTCAACCCTGTAGTATAATTACCCATTTATTTCTCTCCCTAAAATACATATACAAACACCTCCATACTGAGGATTGTTCTTTCTGTAATAATAATAACAACAGAAAGGCGTCAGAAAGAAAACTGTGCTAGTGTTCTCCAGGTTTCATCTTTTACCTACTTCCCTTTGTGGGGAAATCTAACATCCTTCTTGTTTCCAAGAAACAGGATGGATGCTGATGCTTATGCTTCCCAAATCTTTGAGCCTGTCTGCAGCATCAGTCTTTTTTTTAAGTATATTTTATTGATTATGCTATTACAGTTGTCCCATTTTTTTTCCTCCCTTTTATTCCCCTCCACTCTGTACCTCCATTCCCTCCAGCATTTCCCCCGCCCCCTTAGTTTATGTCCACAGGTCATACATATATGTTCTTTGGCTTCTCCATTTCCTATACTATTTTTAACCTCCCCCCGTCTGTTTTCTACCTACCAATTATGCTTCTTATTCCCTCTGCCTTTTCCTCTATTCTCCCCCTTCCCTCTTCCCCCTTCCCGCTGATACTCTTCCATGTGATCTCTATTTCTGTGATTCTGTTCCTGTTCTAGTTGTTTGCTTAGTTTGTTTTTGTTTTTGTTCTTTTTTAGGTTCAATTGTTGATAGTTTTGTGTTTGTCATTTTAACGTTCATAGTTTTGATCTTCTTCTTTTTCTTAGGTAAGTCCCTTTAACATTTCATATACCTAAGGGCTTCGTGATGATGAACTCCTTTAACTTGACCGAGTCTGGGAAGCACTTTATCTGCCCTTCCATTCTAAATGATAGCTTTGCTGGATAGAGTAATCTTGGATGTAGGTCCTTGCCTTTCATGACTGTGAACATTCTTTCCAGCCCCTTCTTTTCCACAAGATTTCTTTTGAGAAATCAGCTGATAGTCTAATGGGAAGTCCTTTATAGGTAACTGTCTCCTTTTCTCTTGTGCTTTTAAGATTCTCTCCTTATCTTTAATCTTGGGTAATGCAATTATGATGTTCCTTGGTGTATGCTTCCTTGGGTCCAACTTCTTTGGGACTCTCTGAGCTTCCTGGATCTCCTGGAAATCTATTTCCTTTGCCAGATTAGGGAAGTTCTCCTTCATTATTTTTTCAAATAAGTTTTCAATTTCTTGCTCTTCTTCTTCTCCTTCTGGCACCCCTGTGATTCGGATGTTGGAACATTTAAAGTTGTCCCCCAGGTTCCTAAGTCTCTCCTCACCTTTTTGAATTCTTGTTTCTTCATTCTGTTCTGGTTGAACGTTTACCTCTTCCTTCTGGTCCAAGTTACTGATTTGAGTCCCGGTTTCCTTCCCTTTACTATAGGTTCCCTGTATATTTTTCTTTATTTCATTTTGTCTAGCCTTCCCTTCTTTCTTTACTTTTTGTGTGTACTCAGTCATTTCTGTGAGCATACTGATTGCCAGTGTTTGAACTATGCATCGATACGTTGGCTGTCTCCATTTTGTTTAGGTCATTTTCTGGGGTTTTCTTTTGTTCTTTAATTTGGGCCTTTTTTTTTTGTCTTCTCAATTTGGCAGCCTCCCTGTGTTTGTTTCTATGTATTAGGTAGAGCTGCTTTGACTCCCTGTCTTAGCAGATTAGTCTATTGCCAAAAGAGCACCTGTAAATTGTGTCATTGGGAGCCTTAGGTAATCGCCAGGGTGGGGCAGCCTGCTTCTCTGCTTCTTGACTCTGTGTGGTGGGAGGGCTCAGAGAGGGGACTATGCCCCTGCCTGGCTTTTGGAGGTTTGCCCGGCACTTGTCCCATTTCCAGTCACTTCACCCCCTCCCTGTATGTGAATGGCACCCTTCCAGTTGTTGCTATGGTGTTGAATCCCAGAGTGAGTGGGTTTGTGTATGTTTTAAAACCATCTGGGCCCTTTAAGCAGAGTTTCCTGAATATCCAGCAGTTTCTTCTGCTGCCCTAACCCCTACTGGTTTTTACAGACAGAAGTTATGGGGATTTATCTTTCTGGAGCTGGAACCCTGAGCCATGTGGTCTGGCCTGCGTCTGGGATCACTGGCTCCCAAGATATCCCTCCCAGTCTTTATCTACCACACGTGAATGTGGGACCACCCATGCCTGTCGTGTCGCTGCCACCACCTCTCCATGCCACGCCGCGTCTCCGCGTCTCCAGCCCTCCCACCCATCTGAATCAGTGTGGCTTCCTTATATGCTTGGTTGTCAGACTTCCATGCAGTTCAATTTTCTGACAGTTCTCTGTTTTATTTGTTTTGAGATTTAGTTTTAATTCTTTTTGTGGCAGCGTGAGGAGGCGAAGTGTGTCTACCTATGCCTCCATCTTAGCAGCTGTCTTATATATCTCCACTGCCCAATCCTCAAAATCAACTTGTATAAAATGAAATTACATTCTTGCTTCCCTTCTCCCTTTTCCCCTGCCAAACCAACAATATACAGCAAGCTTCTCATCTCTGTTTGCTATCTTGGTTGCTAGTTCCATCCTCTCCACATTCATCCAGATATAGAATATAAGGAATTTTTCTTTAATTTCCCTCTCATCAGTCTTCACTCCTAATCCTAGAAATGCCAGTAATAACAGTTTTGTTAGAAAATGTTTTCCAAACATGAAGAATAATAAATATTTTTATCACTGCCTGATTTCAGTGTGCACTCGCACACATGCTGTCACTCTCTCATCAGTCCTATCTTACTGCTCTCCTTCCTAGCTTCCCCATTTCCATCTCACACTGACCACCAGAGCCTTTGTCACTCCTCCCTGACCTTTCAAAGGCTCCTCGCCACTTGGAGGATTAAGTACATGTCCCCAGATAAGATGTATAAAAAGCCTTGGTGATCTGATACCTGCAACACTACTTGCTGCCTCAGTCTACCCTCACTCCTAACTTCTGTTTATCCTTTAAGTCAGCATGCAACAATACCTCACCTTCTCTTCCCTGACACCACTAACCCATCAGGACTCCTCTCTCTGTGATTCCATAATAACCTTCCCTTCTCTCTGTTAGGGCAGTTTACACTGTATATTGTAATCCATGTATTTCTCTCTTCCCCCACCAGAGAGCAAGCTCCCTGAGAATAGGGACTGTGCTGAATTCACTTTATGTCCCCAGTTCCTAACACCCAGTAGATACTCACATATTTAGATAAATTCATAATAACCTGTGAGAACAACAATGTAAATTAAAAAGAGCACCTAGCTCTGCACTGTACAGTATAGTAGCCACTAATCATTGTGACTGGTGAAATTTAAAATATATTAAAATTAAATAAACTTTCAACTCTTCAGTTCCGGCCCTGGCCAATGTGGCTCAGTTAGTTGGGCATCGTCCCACAAAGTGCCAGTTCAATTCCCAGTCAGGGCACATGCCTGGGTTGCAAGTTTTGTCCCCAGTCGGGGCACATGCAAGAGGCAACCAACTGATGTTTCTCTCCCTCTCTTTCTCCCTCCCTTTCCCTCTAAATAAATAAATAAAATTTTTTTTTTAACTCTTCAGTTTCAGTTCTCAACTGTACAGTAGCCATGTGCAATATAGACAACACCACCACCCTCAAAGAGAGCTCTCTGGACAGCACTGGTCAGTAGGTACAGGAAGTACTCCTCCTTCACTCCCACTGAACCACTCTTAACTCCTGTCCTTGTCCTCCTCTACTCATCTCCTAAGGCAAGACTATACACCTGGTCATCATGAGATAAAAGGGCAACCTCTACAATATCTGCAGTTGTCTTTTTCTTGTTTTGAAGATACACTGCTAAAGTCCCAAATCCAAATCTTGAGATGATTTCCTAGACACAGTTCTCTTAATCAGAGGAAGGCCATTTTTTCACACCTACCCATCATCAATTCAAACTTGAATTGAAGCAAGAAATACAGTGCTGCAAAGAGAAGTGTTAGAGCCAAGTTTCAGCTAACTCTGACCTTTGTTACTGGCTGCTGACTTAAGCCGGGATAAGTCATAGTTTCTTAGTCAGTGGTAGTGGAAATCTCACACTCATGGAACAAAGTGAGTGTTCTTAGAAAAGGGCTTAGAACTAAGCATTTTTATCTCTCCCTCTTCAAATTAAAATCGATTCTTTTAAGTACTAAAGATGGACTAGTTAGAGGTGTACTAAATGTGAACATACCTATGTTCCTTTTTTTAATCTTCTGAATATAAAGTTTTAAAACTTCTAAATATAATTTTTAAACATCTAAATATGTTCAGACTTTAACATTTAGAAAACACAGATAATCAGAAACCTTTATTTTTAAACAACTCTCTTTTTTCAAACTTCAGCTTTATAATAATCAAGAGTGTCCAGTGATGAAACTCAGCTTTAATTTAATAGTGGTAGTTTAGTTGTATTCATCCTAAAAAGCTGTCTTAACTTTAGCTACCTTTAAGATTATATATCAACTGATTAAATCCAATTCAGAAGACTGTTTACTGTAAAGCCTGATAATTAACTGATGATTCTTTAGACAGGAATGAAATAGCTCAAAACCCATACCAGGTTCCTTATGATACAAATTAGTGAGGACAGTTGTTCACATGGGACCTACTGAGAGTTCTGGCTCTGGCTGTGTGGACAGGGCATGAAGACAGGTCCCTCCTTTTGTCAGCCATCAATATCCTACATCTAACACAGGGAATTAATCCCTGGATCTTCAAGTTTCTTCCAG